ACAGAGCTCGAGTCTGATCTCGTCCATCGCCACTGTCTGACTGTTTGGTCTAACCACGATTTAATAATTTGTTTTGCCAGAAAATACACTCACACACACTGTGGACTGTCAACATAAAAATGACTCTATTTATTAATTAATATTATAATCGCTTTAAAGTGTCACATTTTTCCTCATAGAGGCCTTCAGAGGAGACGCATCTGAATCAGAGTCCTGGTTTATCTGGAGGAGGGAATATTTGAGGGATAAAAAAAATGAATGAAGGTAGTTTCTCTCTAGCAGATGAGTGCTAGGTCAGATTATCCTTCACGGTTTCTTTATGTCACGATATGGCCAGCAGAGGGCACTATGGCACTGTGGCGCATCTTTGGACAAGCCATGTGACTTTGTTTTTGTTCACTCACTTCCGGGTTAAGCGCTAGCTTACCCACCTTAATGTATCACAGGTGTTTGTACTTTGAGTTTAATTCTGTTCTCTACTTAAGTGCCGTGGTTTCGGAGAACCACGCTCGTGATTGTATTAGTTGTGTTAATTAGTTGTGCCCCTCTGACTACGAACCGTGACACTTTACAGCAGAGCGCATCGAATTAACACACACACACACACACACACACACACACACACACACACACACACACACTGACTTTATTTTATTAATACAATAAATCAAAACAGTGAATTAAAATTGTGATTAAATCTCCTACATCTCTCTCTCTCACACACACACACACACACACACACACACATTACGACTTCATTACCTCCATTTAGTGGCTTCATTACATTGTGTTTGAGTAACTATTATTTTACATTTGTAAACTGTCTCTTGTTTTTATGTTTCATTGTATTACATTTAACAGAAAAAAAAAACTTTCCTTCTTCATTCGGCATTTTCAATCCCTGATTTGTATTTTTTCAGGTTTACACAGTGAACACACTTCTGTAAAACTCCGTCTCAGACGCTTCTACTCAAGAAAAATCTGCCGACGTCTGCAGTGTGAACTACACGCACGTCTGATCATCTGAACGTGGAGCTCAGCTGTGCAACCCGGCTCTGAACCCCAGGAACTTTCCTCACACTAATGCATATAGTTATATGATTGAAAAATCCATGTGTATCCGTGTACCTGTGAAGGCTGGATGGTGGTGGGTCTCTTCGGGTTTTGGGACATGATCTGATTCATCCTGGTGATAACCAGGTCTGCTATGAGCTGCCGGTCTTCAGCCTGATAATCTCCAACCAGAGGCATCGACGAGCCGACCACCTGATCCACAACACAGCTTGTTTTCATTAGCATCATGCTTTTCTGTTACACTCAGGAACATCTTTCTAAAGCATTCATAATTATAATATGATAAATTACAATATTATACAATATTATACTAATGAAAATATTAGAAATGTAATAAATGGACAAAACAGAAAAAAGACACAGGAGATGCTGGAACCTGGAGTCACTCAAAACGAATTTTACTTAGCACCTGCTACTGTAGCATAAAGAAAACTAGGTTAAGCTGCAAGTGCAGGAAAACAATGAAAAGCATTAGATTTGGATTAATTTTACACAGAATAGAAGAGCAGTTTGCGTGGCAGGCATTTCTGTCACCTTCCGGATCGATTATGACCTATTTCACAATTTGGCATACTGATTAACACGAATGAATAAAAACAAACAAACAAACAAAAGAAGAAGAAGCCTTCATATACATTACAGCACACTGAAATTCTGTTTTCTGCATATCTCAGTCTGTTAGGAAGTTCGGGTCAGAGCCCAGGGTCAGCTGTGATACACTGTTACGCTCCCGCCAGCAGATGGCACTGCGGCGTCGACGTGCATGGGCGGCTTTAGAGAGCTCTTGTATATGGACATGCGCCTTTGTTTGTTTTGGTTCTCCCCCTGTTTAAGCATTGGTGGATGTTCGAGGGTGTGTCGTGATGTACTACAGGTGTCTGTGTTATAGTTTGATTGTGTTTGTTATTTAAACCCCTCGTGTTGCTGTGCACGTCACACAGTATTAAATGAGTAGTTGAACCTCTGAGTGTAACGGTGAATACGTTACGCATGCTAAGCGGTCTTATTTCCATGTCCTGTTCTTGTTCCATCAGCCACTGCACCTCACCTGTCACGTCACATGACTGTCTGCACCTGATTCACGCTTAGGGTTAATGATTACTGGTATATAAAGTCACGCGTTGCACTACACACATTGTCTTCCGTTTGTTCTTTGCTGTTGTTTCTATTGCTGTGTTTTGGTCATTGTTCTATGTTTGTTTCCAAGCCTTTGTGTTCCATAGTTCCTTTTTTGTTTTCATTCTTATTAAAACTTAATCTCTACTTGCCAAACTTCATCCATATTCGCCTCCTTATATAACAATATGGTGCCCCTGGAGCGGAGCTAGTTACGGGCCCAACAGTGGCAGCTTAGCAGTGCTGGGGCTTGAACCCCCGACCTTCTGATCGGTAACCCAGAGCCTTTAACCAGTGAGCCACTACTGCTCAATTAAATAATGAATTAAATGTACTAATAATAATGAAGTGGAAAAACAACATTTTACCCTTATATTTATCTGCGGCATAGTCAATTCACAAAACATGTTTCTACAGGTGTAGCCTAATGAAGAAATTCAGATGTATGAATATGCTGATTAGGAAATACCCCCAAGCCTTCAGGCCCCGCCCCCATCCTTTCAGTATACAAAGTAATTTGTATACTGGACTACAATCGGACAACTCTACTGCAATCACAAATTTCACACGTTTTGACATTCTGCATTTTAACTTCAGACATCTGTGTAATAAAGTCTCAGGTGACTTGAATAAATAATACACAGGTAAAGGACAGGTTTAGTGCAGTGATAAACGTACCTCAGCGATGTAATCTTTTCCATCTTTACCGTGAATGGCTTTAACTGCACAGATATCCAAACCCCCGAACAACTCACTGCACGTATCCACCCACAGCTTATACCTACACACACCCACACACACACACACACACACACACACACACACACACACACACACACACACACACACTTCCAGGTAAGAGTCTTCGTTTATCTTTTACAGAAAATAAACTTTATTAAAAAAAGTCCAAGATGTTCAAATAACTTAACATTTTATTCCTCCTTCTAATTTTCTCTGCGTAACCAATAAAAACATTGAAGTACTTTTATTTTAGAACAATATTTGAAAAAAGAATGGCTAATGGTTTTAATAAAAAATAGGATTTGTAAATATAGAGAGAATATATACAGTATAATATACTCTATATGGCTAATAGAGAGCTCATTCACACTGCGCTAATAAACAACATTTAAAAAATAAGACTAAAATGTGTTCTGAACTTATTTTACTCTGAGAAACAGACAGGAAGTGACGGTGTTACCTGTCTGTCATGGCCACTTGCTCCAGCATGGCTGTTCCGGTGTTGGACTTCCAGTTTCCTGAGATGGAGGTTCTCCTAAAATACAGCCAACAAAAATCAAATAAAATGAGTTCATCTTTATCTTAAATCAAATCAAATCAAATCAAATAAAGGGGATATATTCACTGTGACAGGTGTACAGTACTTACATGTAGGCTTTGTAGTTGTTTCCGATTTTCTGGATCCTGATGTCGTACTTGGAGTCGATGAAGGGTTCGGACGTGCTGTAAGTCTGTGTGAGCGCCACCACGCTCGCTATGTCCTGGAACTTTGTGTGATTGTCCACTTTCACCTTCACACGGGTGTTCACATGTAAATAATAGCTCCTGTTACCTAACCTATATTATCTACATGTACTCCAGAATTAGTAAGCACTCTTCATATTTAAATAAATAACTATTTATTGATTTATTTCACTTAATTAGTTATTTAGTAGGAAATGTGTTTGGTTTATCTAAAATAAATAATGGGCACAAATTACTGCAGAATACATTTTACCCGAATGTTATTTACATTTTTACATACAAACAATTAAAAACATATATTACATTTACACAATAACGTATACGTAATATGTAATTCATAATCACTTTATTTTGTAAGCAATTTTTTTCCCCCAAAAACACGGCAAAATGGCTGTCAGCCCTTGTAAGAAATATTTGGCAAATTGTCTCTCTTGAAAAAAAAAATATTCTCGGCCTCTACAAACTCTGTGAGGACATAAAAATTAATATATTGTATTAAATAAACAAAACAAATCAAAACCCTACAGCATCCTATTATGTTTACACTTATAATATTGTGAAAATAGGCTGTGTGTAGTACATATTCATTTTATATGTTCATTTTTACTCATTTTCATGAAGGTGCCAATAATTCTGTTGTTGACGGTATGTACACTCTTCAAAATGTATTTGGTTGTCTATCTGGGGGATAATTAAAGGTTCTATGTAGAACAGAGTGGTTTCCTATCAGAAACGTTTGGAAATAGTTCTCTTATTAAGAAACTATGCTGTTCATTTATCCAGTGAGCCATTAAAGAACCATTAAAGAACCATTAAAGAACCATTAAAGAACCCTGTTTGAGTGTGTGTATTTTGGAGGTTGAGCTGACACATACCTTACCCACACCGGAGTGGGCGTGTCCAATTTTCACCACCACAGGGAAGGTTGGCATGGTTACCTAAAGAATATCGAAATAAAAGCATTATACTTATACAGTGGATATAAAAAGTTTACACACCCCTGTTAAAATGGCAGGTTTTTATGATGTAAAAAATGAATCCAGGATAAATCATGTCAGAAGGTTTTCTACCTTTAAAATTTGTTAATTAAAACCTGTTAATTAAAGTGTAAAACGATAAGAATCATTTACACACCCTTATATAATGTGGCAGTGTTCAGAATCAACCAATCACATTGTTCCAATCATCATAAATAATAATTAGTGTACATCTGTCATCAATTAAAGTGACTGATTAACCCAAAATAAAGTCCAGCTGTTCCTATAGGATTCTCCTGACATCTTCTTGGTAACATCCAACTGGAAAAGCCCTGGACCACAAAGAGCTTACAGAGCAGGTACGGGATCTCACTGTTGATAAATATCAATCAGATGAGGATTACAAACCATTTCCGAGGCATTGGCTAGACCATGGAACACTGTAAAGACATTAAACAACAAGTGGAGACAATATGGCATGACAGTGACACTACTAAGAACATGATGTCCCTCTAAAATTGATGAGAAGATCAGGAGAAAACTGGTCAGGGAAGCTGCTGAGAGGCCTAGTTATTATTATTAATATTAAAATAATTGCAGCAATTTCTGGCAAGTACTGGTTACTCCCTACATGTGACAACAATCTCCAAAATTCATCATGTCTCTGGTCTATGAGGTAGGGAGCGAGACGGAAGCCTTTTTAACCCAAAAAAATTTAATAAAAAATAATCATCCGATCAAAACCATGTGGAATAAAGTGTTCTGGTCTGATGAGACCAAAGTCGAACTTTTCGCCATAAATACCAAAAGATATGTTTGGCACAAAAAAACACAAGAACACATCACAGCTCCAAAAGAACACGGTCCTCACGGTGAAGCACGGTGGTGACAGTATCAGCCTTTGGGGCTGTTTTTCTTCAGCTGGAGCTGGGGCTTTAATCAGGGTGGAGGGAATAATGAGCAGCTCCAAATACCAGACAAAAAACCTTAAATCTTCCTCTACAAAATTGAACCTTTCAGCACGACAACGACCCGAAGCAAACCTCCAGATCAACTAAGTTACGGCTTCATCTAAACAAGATCAACATCGTGGAGTCCAGACCTAAATCCAATCAAATCTCTGTGTGGTTGGATTTGGGGCTGTGCACAGGAGATGTCCAGATAATTTGACAGAGTTTGGTAATATTTTTACATTTTACATCACAAAAACCTGCCATTTTAACAAGGGTGTGTAAACTTTTAGATCCACTGTATATACGGTTTATAACATTAGAATGAGCCACACTGCAGCTCCTGTTCATTTTTAATGTTTTTTTTTGTTACTTTTGCGTCACTGTATAAAAAATAAACCTCTGACCATCTCTTTGTAGTTTGCGTAGTAGGTTTGTTCCATCAGCGGAAATTTTTCGGCTCCCAGTTTCTTGTGTGTGCTGATCAGCTGAGCGAACTGCAGACCGCAAACAAAACATCACACAGATTATTACACAGTCCAGATGCTCATTTAACTCTGCATCAGCATGCGCTTCTGTTCAAAAATTATATTCAATTATTAGGTCTCTTATTTTATTGAAAAATTCCCACCAGGTTTACAAACACTTCGATTATGTTGGTACTCACTGGCGTATGCTGATAAACACCGATCAGCCATTAATTAGCAAGCACTTTCACAGCATTTACATTTAGCCACGCCCAGAAAACTCCATAAAAGACAAAAAGAGCTGAAAATGACAAAAACGCCAACTAAACATTCAAAGAGCACCTCCTAAGCTCGGTAAATCGTCCAGTAATGTAGCTCAGCCACTGCAGGACGCTGGCTACCAGATACACACACTAACTCCTTCCCCTTTCACAGGGCGCCATTACTTTTGTCCCGATTGAACAGCTTTCTTTTGCAAGATTAAATCTCAACGATGCCAAAGCCGTAGCCAGGAGTCAAAGAGGGTAAAATTGGTTGTACTCTCTGGGTGGGAGGGGCTTGCTCTCTCTCCCCTGTCAATCACAGTGCCACTAGTGAATCATGGGGTCTGTGAGGTCACGTTTGTGGACGAGGACGGACAGCGCGTTCCTCTGAGTGTGTTACGTGTCAGAGATGTGGGAAAACTTCAAGTTACAGCTTCACCTCTGACTGTTACAGAGCGCTGACACTGGAGACTCATTACTTACACGTTACATAAACACATTCCTCCTCACAAAAAACTTCCCCCTATCAGTGATATCTGTATGATTCTGGAAAGCGACTCACCGCCCACGGTTTATCACACATGTTGTAGATGGACTGGAGAGAGTTGGTGCTGGAGACTCCTGCGTACTGCAGACCGATGATCAAGTTCCGGAAATCAGAATTCTCAGTCATGCTGAAGGCGTGTTGACGAACGAGGACAAAATCGGGCTTGAAAGACCTGAGAAGAAATGTACACATCTCATTTTCGTTCCTATTCTTCACTGTGAAGGAGGCGTGGCCTGAGCGTAATAGTGAAAGGGGCATGGCCTTTGTATCTGTCAGTCCAAATGAAGGAGGTGTGGCCTCTCTGCTTCAAACCTAGTGAAGGAGGTGTGGCTTTTATATCTGTCAGTCTCAATAAAGGAGGTGTGTTCGTTGTGTTGTCTTTTAATTGAGGTGTGGCTTTTTACTTGTCAGTCTTAGGAAAGGAGTCATGTCAGACTCAGGAGGTGTGCCATCTCTATCTGCCAGTCCCAGTGAAGGAGGAGTGGCCTCTGTGCTTCAGTCCAATTGAAGGAGGCATGGTCTCTGTGCTTGTCACTTTTAATTAAGGTGTGGCCACTTTTCACCCATCAGTCTCAGCAAAAGAATTGTGGTCTCTGTAATTCAGTTTCGATAAAGGAGGCG